ATAAAAATACTCTCATTTCAACATGTAATCAACATGACAATTACTGAGATACTTTACATTTTTTTGTGCTCAGTCTAAGAAGTCTGGTATATGTTTCACACTTGCAGCACATCTCAGTTCGGACTAGCCACATTTCAAGTGCTCGGGAGCCACGTGGAACTCACAGCTGTGTGTCGGACGGCGTGGCTCTAGAATGTCCAGGTGGCATGAGGAAATGGTTCTTCTGGGCCCACCCTGCCTTCCAATTAAACTGCCTGGCCAGCTATATCAGGTAAAAGAGATGAAGAGAGATGAGTGTCTACAAATACACAAATATTTATAGAGCTTTAGAGATGTTATTTTAAAAGCATGTTGGTATCATAATTAGCCAGAGACTATTTTGGGGGTATAAGTACTTATAGGACCCCTAGCTGAAACAGTCTTAATTATTGGGGTTGGCTAAAAAGTGCGTTTGTTTTTTTTTCTGTAAGATGGCTGTGGTAGTGCTTAGTTGTCTCTAACTTCATTCACAACAATTTTGTTAGATTGTATTGTGACAGGTGTCATATCAGCTTGCATTACAAAAAAAGGTTATCAAAATTGGTGAATTTTTTGTAGCCATTTTAATACTGAAAATGGAAGAAAATATGCAACATTTTCGGCATCTTATGCTTTATCATTTCAAGAAAGGTAAACATGCAACTGCCAGGCAAAAGAAGACTCGTGCAGCGTGTGGGGAAGCTGCTGTGACCAATCCAACGTGTGTGTCAAAAGTGGTTCGGGAAGCTTTGAGCTGATTTCTCACTGGACGATGCTCCATGGTTGGGTAGACAGTTGAAGCGGATAGCGATCAAATCGAGACAACAATTGAGAACAATCTATGTTATACCACACGGGAAGCAGCCGGCATACTCAAAATATCCAAATCGATAAAGTTATTGTGAAAATGAAAAGTGTATCTTATTTTATGGAAAAAAATAAAGACTTTTTGGCCAACCCAATATTATTTTGTTCTCAACAAAGTGTTCTTTGTTCATTTTTTCTTGGATTAATGAACACACTAAACACACTAAATCTAATAGACAATTTCACTTTTTTTCATATTTTCAAAATTGTAATTAGGTGATACCAAATAAAGTAGATACACAGTTCTTAAGTTAGAGTGCACAATGAAAGCCCCTTACTGTTTTCAAGGGGCGAAGGCAAGAAAATACAACCTAAACTTATCCACTTTTTAAATAGTTGTGTGGTGAGTCAATGCCATTTAAAGACATTTTTCAATAGAAAAATGATTCATGAATGGGTTTATAGAAGATGTAAAAAGTCAGTGTTTAATAAAAAATGGAGAATTCCGCACAAACTTGCATGTCATCCCAGCACAGGGGCCACGCTCACCTTCCCCGCACCCTTCCAACGGCAGCGCTTGTGCTGCGGAAGCCAGCATGAGCATCGCATTTTGCTGGTGTGTCATTTCGCTTAGATGCCCTACATTGTTTATGTCAACAGGAAGGAATTAAATGTATTTATAAAAAAAAGACAATTAGCATATATTGAGAGCTTGGACACTTGACACGTGTTACCTCATTCTATCCTGGAAAGAGTCACCTGAACTAGGTTCTATGATTTTTGCCATTTTTTGGATGAGGAAACATTCAAATTGCTAAGTAAACTTGCCCAAGGTTACCTAGTTCACAAACAGCGAACTCAGGCAGGTGGATCCACACTGCACACTTCTATCCATATATTGCACTTCCTTGCATGATTCATGTAAAATTTACCATCGTCCAAAACTATTCAAGGCCCCTGCCTCCTTTTAACACACCCAAGCTAAGCCCTCTTGATTCTAGGCAGTCTGGCAAAAAAAAAAAATAAAATATGTGCCTTTTGGGGGAGTCTGATCAGTACATTTTAAGGGTTATTTGAAAAATTTGGCTTCATTGCAGATGGATCAGGCCGTCTGTGAATTGAGAGGTAGAACCCGCTTTGCCAAAAAAAAAGAAAGAAAGAAAGAAAGAAACTTTGAACTAAGATACAAAGTTATTTAAAAAAGTTAAAATAATAGTAGCTGTTATGTGTCTTAAAATTGATAAAAAGTGAATTCACAACATTATTTAAAAGTCATACCTATGTTGGTAGAGTTAAAATGATATTCCATTAGATTATAAAAGGCAAGGCTACCCTACTTTTAAAAAATCCCATCTTTGCCCTGGCTGGGTAGCTAAATTGGTTAGAGCATTGTCCCAAAATGCCAAGGTTGTGGGTTCGATCCCTGATCAGGGCACAAACAAGAATCAACCAATAATGAAGGCATCAATAAGTGGAACAACAAACAGATGTTCCTCTCTCTCTCTCTCTAAAATCGATGAATAAAAATTTAAACAAAAAATCATCTTTAATTCATTATTTTTTCAATTCAATCATTATAAAATGTAACTTAAATGTTCAAGTTTGGGATTAAAATTTCTCAAAGTAAAGACAGATCTGGTCTGCCATTTTCAAGTGCCCCAGGTATTTACGAACTATGATGGTTTATGCATCTGGACCTTCATACTATAAGTGGCTATATAGGCTTAAAGTACTGTGTATATTTTTGCTTTAATATGTGATATAAATTTATTTCCCCTCTCTTAGTAAATTGTAAGCCTTGTTTGGGGCAGACTCTACATGTCCTGCTTACCTTATCAAACTGCATATGTTAAAATATGCTGTTGTTTTCCAATTGGAATTACTGTAATTTTAATATGTCAAAGAGGTTAGTGGGAGTTCTGATGACTGATACTTCAAACTCATACTTTTTTTAAAAAAAATTTCTCACCCTAGGTTATGCTCATTGATTTTAGAGAGAGGGAAAGGGTGGGAAAGAGAAGGAGAGAAACATGGATGTGAGGGAGAAATCAACCTCATACTTCTTGTATCAGAATACAATGCTTGTTTTTTAATGTTGTCAAGACCCATCCCAGGCAAACTACTAACTTTTGAACCAATCCTTTGACAAATTAATATGAAAGAGATTTTTTAAAAAGATTTTATTTATTTATTTTTTAGAGAGGGAAGGGAGAGAGAGAGAGAGAGAAAGAGAGAGAGAGAGAGAGAGGGAGAAGCATCAATGTGAGGTTGCTGGGGGTCATGGCCTGCAACCCAGGCATGGCATGTACCCTGACTGGGAATCGAACCTGCAACACTTTGGTTCGCAGCCCACACTCAATCCACTGAGCTACGCCAGCCAGGGCTGAAAGAAATTTTTTCAAATTTTAATTTTAGAAAAGATGATAACTTCAAATGGCAAGATGCTGTACAAAGCAATCTATAGAACTTGACTCTGCTATTAACTAGGTAGAATGAAGGAGTTAAAATATTTTTTAAAAAGATTTTAAATTTATTTTTAGAGAGAGGGAAAGGGAGGGAGAGAAGCATCGATGTGCAAGAGAAACATTGATTGGTTGCCTCTCACACATCCTCAGCTGGGGACCTGGCCTGCAACCCAGGCGTGTGCCCTGATTGGGAATCCAGACCAGCGACCTTTCAGTTCGAAGGTTGGCGCTCAATCCACTGGGCCACACCAGCCAGGGCTGAAGCAGTTAAAATTGTGAAGTCTGACAAACATACTGATTCAGCCCTGTTCTACTTATCTGTAACTTCAGTAATGTATGGAGCTGAACTCTGAAAGTTTTGGAACTTTAAAAAAAATTTTAAATTGTATTCAATGCCTTGAGAAGAGCGCTGAGAAAGCAAGTGAGAAGGCACGGCTTTGAAGAACTGGCCATTTGGCCTCTCCTCTCCCCCCTTCCCACCCCTCTCCCACTATCTTAGCTATTTGACCCGATTAAACAACTTTGGGATGGTAGCCAGATTTCTGCATGCTAATGAGGCCTCTATTCAGGATTTAGTGCGATTTCATCCATCTCGAGCTTCCCGACTGCCCAGGGGAAGCTGGCTTCACAGAAATCTCTCAATTTTGTCAGAGGTTCGCCAGTGAGGAGCTCACACTTGCTTGAAACCGACACAAACTTTGAACACCTCTAGACACGTCAGATTATTCATTAGCAAATTCTTTTCGCCTTCTATCCAAGCATTGAAAGGTGACGCCAGAATCGCGTGTACTACTCACAGAAAGAGACTGGCAATACCCAGCCTAGTCCTACGACTTCATTCGTTACTAGCAGTAGTGGAACACATTTCTAAAATTTCCTTAAATCTCCCCTACTCCAGAGGCAGGTCTAAGAGCCAGGTCCCACTCGACTCTCCAGTTTCCCTGAATCTGGTCACTACAGAAGTTTCTGGTGTATGTGTGTAAAACAGAAGGGGTTGTAGTGGGGAACCGCGTGGAGTGACCACCGTGCATTACGTAACGAAAGCCCTGGCTACCGGAGGGAGCGGGCCTGACATTGAGACATTCCAGGGGGGAGGGGAGTTGCTGCCCTGGAGTCGCCAGGAACGGCGGCGGCAGTTCCAAGAAACTGAGAGAGAGAGGAAGGTGGCCGAGATAAAGAAAACACTTGGGGAATGAGAATGTTAAAAAGCCGCAGGACCGAGAGCGTTAGAAAACAGCTGGGCACGTGTAGTAATTTGTTAGACGAAACGGCAGCCTTTCAACTTTTGCACGGGAACAAGGGATTTGCCCTTTGGGGATTATAAACGTAATAGAAAAGCCAAAAGCTAATGAATGAAGTTCAACGGTTTGTTGAAAATACTTAAATATTTATGTCCGGAAGCGCAAACTCTCTGCATTTATTTAGAAAGTAGAAACCCCAAACTAGAATGCTCTGCCGTGCGTCTCCACTCTCCTCAGTCCGAAAAAGAGCTGCTCACGCGGTACTGCCCCTTTAAGACCTGCTCGCACTCGGGCTCTACAAAAGGGAGTGACCTCTGGGCTTTGACAGCTCCCCTAATAACTACCACCGCGCAGGCCCCGCCCACCTGGCGACCAGTCGCGGCGATTGGCCGGCGGGCCGGTATCCCGTGCTCTGATTGGCTCGCTGCTTCCCCTGAGCGAACCTTTAGAACTCTGAGACAGACAATATTCTGTTACATTGTAGCAAAATGGCGACTGTCATTCACAACCCCCTGAAAGCGTAAGTAAGACTAAAAAATGTACATATTCCGCGTGGTTTCAATATGAAAAAAAAGGCGCCTTCTGCGTGCCGAGCGCTGCCAGTGCACTGCGCTTGCAGGCGCCTGCAGCCTCTGTGGGGCTTCTCTCTTTTCTTTCAGCTCTTACTTCTTCACCTTCTTTTTTTCCCCACAACACGCAGAAATGTCAGGAGATGCAATTAACACGAAGAAAATTGTTACGTTTGTGTGCTGCTTAATTGGCGGACGGAGAGAGAGAAGGGATGCCGGCAGGGGAGCCTGGCGCTCGAGCGCTTTGCAGCTGGGGGTTCGTGGGCAGCTCGGGGACAACACGGTCCCCCGAGCGCCCGGCTTCTCGAGGCGGCGAGCGCGGCGCTGAGGGCGGCCGACCGGGGAGCGAGCGCCGGGCAGGGGCCGCCTGGGTGCACTTGGCTGAGCCTCGCACCTCCGGAGCCCGCGGCCCCCACCCCGCGGTTCAGTCCGCCCGGGCGAGCGGACCGCCGCAGCTCCGGAGTTTGCAAGGAGCTCTCCTCCTTCCGATCGCTGGCGGGGAGTTAGTTTGTGCAAACCTTCCGGAGTTAGGAGGACTGCAGGGGGAGCAGCGGGTCCCGGGAGCCCTGGGGTCCAGGTGGTTGCCCGGGGCTTTCCTGCCGGGGCACCCCCGGAGCGTGACGGCGCTCCGGGCGGTCGCCAGCGTGTCTGCGGGTGTGTTTGTGGGCGAAATGGCTACAGTAAATTAACGACGCAGGTTAACTTGGGGTTGATTTGGAGGCAGGGAAGCTGCAGGTCTCGTGAATGGTGTTTTCACCTCCTCTGGGTGAAAAGCCGTGGCAGGCGAAGAGGCAGCTTGGAGCTCCCCGCCTGAGCAGGCAGCGTCTGCTCCCGGCCCGAGCGAGGGGCAGGTGCCTCTGGCCGCCGCTGGGAGACTTTGAGCGGACGCCCAGATCCGGGACGGAGGGGGGCGGGCTGCACGAGGACACGCGGGGGCCAGTCCTCGGGTCCAACAGCCAATTCCTGCCTGCCTGCCTTCCTCCTCCTTTTCATCTTGGCTTCCTTCCTTCCTTCTTCCTTCCTTCCTTCCTTCCAGTCCGTGGAACTGTTAAGCCGCCAAGTCCGCTCGCGATCGCGGAGCTGGGGGTGGCTTCGGAAAACTAGCGTCGCTCTGCAAGGGGTGCTATGGGCACTGATGTTGGCAGAAGGGAGCTCTCTCCGGATCACGGCGCTACGTGGGCTGGAGCCCGAGCCAGGGGAATCGGGTCTTCCCAGCGCGCCTGGAAGCCGCGGGCGAGGGGAGGGGGCAGTGCGGGTGGGGGGCGTGTTTCGTGCCGAATTCTCGCGGGCGCGTGGCATACACCCACCCAGGTCCTTTCAACTCCGCGCATCGTTGTCCGCACCCCCACCTCCTCTTAGAGTTGAAATCCAGGTTTGCACCTTGAAGGAGGGACGGTTGCGGGGGGGGGGGCGGGGCGCGGTAGGGAGATTCCTATTGCGAAGGAACGCTCGGGGAGGATGGAATGCTTTTGCACCAGCTTGTCTCCCTCCCATCAGTAATAGGAAAAAGGGTAAGAACGTCCCAGGTCTCGGAGTTTTAAATATATACATATATATTAAAGCTACTGTTAAGAGGATATTTGAAGCTGAGGCTGATCGGGGAGCAGTAACCCCCGGCATCAGTTCTCGCTCTGAACTGCTAATATACTGCACTTCTGCGCCACAGCCGTTTACCCAAGAAAGAAATTGTTTTATGGCAGAATAAATGGGCGTAACTTCGCCGCATCCTCGCTTTCCTTGTCGCTCGCGCTGCCGCACCGCTGATGCTGTGGGTTTCTACCGAGCCCTCAGCTGATTTGCAGCTTACACATTTCCAGCCGATATCACATAATCAGGTTGATGCCACCTGGTAAACTCAAGTTAGAGAAACCTCACATGTGCGCCAGGTTTGCTTCCTACTGGGAAAGCGGTACCCTGGTTACCCTGGAGCCGGCTTACGCGCGGGCGGGCGCAATGTCTCTACGCTCCAGGGTTCCCCTGCTCGCCCCCGGCTTTTTGCTTTTGTTTTTGGACTGCAGAAGGTTACGTGTTTGAGAAGGATTTCTGTGTAGGGCTGGGCTAGAGGTGGGGGGAGGGACACAAAGCGTTCTGGTTAGTGGAATTAGTTATGAATTTTTATACTTGAACTTTGGTTAGTAACAGTTACAATGTGATGTGTTTGTAGTTCTGTGGCCTCATACACTCACACACCAGCCCACGCACGGCACTCCTGTTGGCTTTTTCTAGGTGGGAGTTGAGTGGTCCTTTGTAATTAGCTGCTCCTTTTTTGCACCCTAACCCCTTTCGCCTGGGGGTAAGGGGGTGTAAACAATAACCCCGGCCATCGGAGTCCTCTGCGCCCCCGTTGCCCCGGACGGTTTTTAAACTCTTATGGCGGGAGCACACACGTTGTTGTTGGGAGACCAACACCATCTGCCTTTATTTTTTTAAAGCAACTTGTGTAATAAAACATCTTATTTTTCATTTGTTTTTAAAAGTTGCTGATCAGGAAACAATACACACGTGAATAAATTATGCATGGACTAAATTAGAACAAAGCGCAGAGACTCATCAAGCCGAAAGGATGGATGGTGGCTGGGAGGAGGGGAGCAGGGAGTATGGTTTGGAGAGCAATGTTTTCATCCTCATGTGTCTCTGACAATGAAACGCAGCCGAATGACATTAGCATTTTCTCTGTGTGCGTTCTGAGTCTCTTCTCCCCACTTAAAAAAAAAAAAAAAAGCCAACCCCACTAACGCCCCCTACTGAAACTGGTCACACAAAGGTTTGGGGAATAAAGTGGTGGTAGGTAACGTTCTGAGACGAAAGAAGATCAGGTTTCATGTAACACCTGTGTAGAGCCCTATCTACCCTGAGTATGGACCGTTTCTCACTTATACTAGCTTTTTGCACATAGGACTATAGGAATAATTCAATAGCTCAGGTAACCGGATGACAGAATTTGAATCTCATTGCTTTGGGGTCTTCTTAAGGGCCCAAGCTCCTGGAGCCACATCTCATCTTAGCACTTTGGCTTTCTTTCTGCCTGTCTTTGATCTCCCCTCCACTCTCTTTCCTATTCCTCCTCCTTGTACCTTTCACCCCCTTCTCTCTGAAGCTGACAGCCTGGCTTCTCTCTCTGTTGTTGCCTTTAACATCTTATTACTGCCCAACAGGGTGTTAGAGGCAGAAACAGGAGCTGCCTGGACCGATCAGATCACAAAGGGGACTTGGCAGGTGGCCACACAACCAAGCAGTCACATCTGGACAGATAGAATTTAAAGCACTGATGAACATGTATGAAGTGTAAATGGGTATTACACAGTATTTTATTTAGCAGCTACATTGGCTGAACCTAGGTGTGTGAGTCACTCATTTATTACACTTACAAGCAAGATAAAGGCCATATAGTGAAGTAATTACACACGTAGGTAACATAAATATGGATTAGATAAAGGTCTATGTGTCAGTCACATTACATATTGTGTTCTGGTTGCTATTTATATACCTAGGACATAATGCTTTTAATATAGATTGTAATCTTACGTGCTGTTCTAGTTCAGGTAAACTGTACTTCCTAAATCTGCTATCAATACTTCAAAGAGCTTACTTTTATTAAGTTATCAAAACCCTGGTTAGTATGCACTTAACTGGGAATGTCTGCCACCTTCTGCCAGACTTGATTATGCACATACGAATCTATTATTGTAACTGCCTGCTTAGAAAAGAATAACTGTTATTATTGTTTAGTTATTCCATGTAAACCAACAGAGCTTCACCTCAAGAATGAGACCAGTAAACTATTGTCTATAGTAAAGAATGAGACCAGTAAACTATTGTCTATAACTGTGAACATATATAATTGTACTGAAACAAAATTTTTTTTAAAGAGTTTCACTTGCTTAGAGGCATTTGTTTATATCTGTTTAATTATTAAGGACACAATTTTGGGAGACGTAGATATACTTACTTAGCTAAGGTCAGTCAGCAGGTCATGTGTATGGATGGACCTCAAATCTTCATCTCTATACATTCTATGATCTGGATACATTGCATTCTAATCTAAAGTGGTTTTGTGCCTGTGAAAGTTGTGTAATTGTCAGCCACTTAGAAGCCAGACCTTGCTCTTGCTGTGGCAGGTTAGATATCAGAAATGAAAAGGTAGGGGGGGAACACATTCCTGGTTCTAATCTCCTCTTAGCTCTCTGTGAATGAGAATAGGACGGGAACGTTGGGGTTGGGACTTTGTGAACTTGCAGCCTTTTATGGACATTACTTTAGCCCTAACGAAAGACATTTTAAGCCAACAGATGCTTAAGAACCACCTTCTCCATCTGCTTCTGGTTGCCACTGGGAAAAAAAAAAGAAAAAGGCCCTAAATTCTCCAAACTTCATTAGCACACATTATTTTTCAGCAGGACAAATGTCTGGTTTTGATGAGATACCCATAAAGGAGATTGATTTCTGCCAGAACGCACGTGGAGGCATTGTCACAGGGTAAACCTCTGTTAGGAGCCGGCCTGCAGACCACCTGGGAGACAGCCAGAGAGCACAGTGGAAGGCAGCCGCTCAGATCCATAAGTGGGCTGGAATTCAGAGGCAGCTTATTGGAGACTTCTCATCTTCCTCTCTTTTTGGGATCATGCAGGTAGCTGGAATTTGGATACATCTGAAAAAGATCATCATATCTAAAGCTATTTAAGAGCCATCTGCTCAGATCAATGCGATAAATAGAATGTCACAGTCGGTATGCTTTGTTTGGAGCAGGCACCAGAAAGGGAAAGGAAACTGAGGCTGATGTTTCAGTTTTTAAAGTGCAGCCACACTGAAGGTAGTGGTGGTGGGGGCTGGGTCATAAAAAGGCACCAGATTCTAGGCCTGTTTATTATTCCAATCTCTTGCAAAGTACCTTGTGGTTTTTTAAAGTGTACTGAAAGTCACTAGAAGACAGAGATGTAGCCAAATGTGGCAA